TTTTCAAAAGTGATTTGGTGATTTGTTGCAGGGCTCAAATGTAAGGACATTGCTTGTATGACTTTAACAATGAATCTTTTTGATACTGGGTTGTTTTGGAGTTAACACTGCTGTTTTTGTCTGACTGACTTTTTTGTTTGATTACCCTTTTGTTAAGGATGATTTGTCTGTCGATGATGAACTCCTTGCTGGTAATGACAGTGCCGTGGAGAAGTCTTCAAAAGTAAGTGATAAGGTTACTGTTACAATATACAGGAAATACGATCAGTTTCTAACCTTAACTGCTCTGAATTCTGTCAGGGTGGCGTTGCAAAGGTCTTGAGGAGTCCCTTCACCTCCTCCTCTCAGGTTATTTCCTTTTTCAGTAATATCACGTCATATCACGTCCTCTACCTGCCTGTGCGATGCACATGTGATTATGCTTTCTGGTTTGTGATATACGGTACATACTTTGTATGTTACCAGGATAAGGAAAAGACTGACCACTCAGGAGACTCACAGGAGAACAGTTCTGCCACAGGGAAGCCCAAAACCAAGGAGGTTGGTTGTTTCACCAAGCTGAATTTCAGCTCTCTTTAAAGGAGATTTTGCCTCACAGTGATTGATGATATGATGATATTGATGACCCGTGCTTAATCAGAGGATGCACGAATATAACAGTGTTTTAATTTTTTTGAAGAAAGAAAAACAACAGTTTGGCTTGATGATTTACTCTAAATGGTAGCTGTTTTTGTTTTACCTCATAATGGTTTCAGTCAAATGATGAAGAGCACGCTCTGCAGTGATAAACAAGTGAGAGGTCGCTTAAAATATATGAGGGACGGAGAGAGCGAATGCCTCAAAAGCATTTTAAAAATGATTATTCAAGACATCCAAGGACACTTAACAATAGAATAAAACGCATAATAGAGATGACAAAATGAAGAACAATAAAAACAAAAGAACAAGATCAAATTAACAAACAGTGGGTTCACAGTGAACAGATGGGTTTTGAGTTGAGATTTAAACTGGGAGAGAGAACCAATGTTTCTTACATCTGAGGGTAGAGAGTTCCACAGCCTGGGAGCAGAGCAGCCAAAAGTTCTGCTTCCCATGGTGCTGACGCGGAAAGAAGCCACAGCAAATTGGATAGCAGAAGAAGATCGAAGTGAGCGGGGTATTGTGACATTAACTCAATCAAAATTGGCATCATCCACAGGAGAAAAGCTCCAACAACGATGACGAGAAGAAAGTGGACCATGGAGATAACCAGCCCACTCAAAAACAGGTTTGTGTTAATGTTTGGGTCTTCTTCTTCTTCTAAACCCAACTTTTGACTGAATGAACAGGAAGCAGGATCTTCTTCTTCTTCTTCTTCTTCTTCTTCTTCTTCATTTAAAATTCTGTTTTACCTCATATTCAGAATAAACTGGCTGGGGGAATGACAAAGCTGAATCCATTTCGATATGCAAACAAAGTAAGGATGCTCTTGATTATCCCTTGGGGGAAAAAAATCTGAGGATTGTACAGCCACATTCATCCGTTGATTTCTGTCTGTTCTGTACAGAATGAAAAGGAGGCAGGCTCAATAGAAGAAGATTTAACTGTCAGCAACAAGAAGTCATCAGGCCATAAGCAGGTACGGCTATAGATATTTTTCCCTGTTTAAAGTACATTTGTTTGACATTTCTCAGTTTATTTAATTCAAGGTACGTTTGACAGACACTGAGGGGAAGTCTTATTTAGTAGGAAGCTTGCTGCTTCCTGTTCATTCAGTTAAAAGTTGGGTTTAGTTTCACCACCATTGAAAGTCTTTAAGATGCATCCCTGAGGCCATTTACGATATGTCTTTCCCCTGCCCTCTCTCCACTTATTCCCTGTCTTCTCTCCACTGTCCTGTCTCAACAAAGGCTTAAAAGTCCCCCTCAAAAAATCATTTTAAAAAAGGACTAAGACAAAACAAAACCAGGAATGCCACCCCGCTGTGGCCATAAGGCTTCCACAGAATTTAAATCTGGAGATCTACAGTGGCTTGCAAAAGTATTCGTATTTGAACTTTCCCACATTTTGTCACATTACAGCCACAAACATGAATCAATTTTATTGGAATTCCACGTGAAAGACCAACACAAAGTGGTGTACACGTGAGAAGTGGAACGAAAATCATACATGATTACAAACATTTTATACAAATAAAAAACTGCAAAGTGGGCTGTGCGAAATTATTCAGGTCTGAGTGCAGTCAGTTGCCCATAGACATTGCCTCATGAGTGCTAATGACTAAATAGAGTGCACCTGTGTGTAATCTAATGTCAGTACAAATACAGCTGCTCTGTGACGGCCTCAGAGGTTGTCCAAGAGAATATTGGGAGCAACAACACCATGAAGTCCAAAGAACACACCAGACAGGTCAGAGATAAAGTTATTGAGAAATTTAAAGCAGGCTTAGGCTACAAAAAGATTTCCCAAGCCTTGAACATCCCACGGAGCACTGTTCAAGTGAACATTCAGAAATGGAAGGAGTATGGCACAACTGTAAACCTACCAAGACAAGGCCGTCCACCTAAACTCACAGGCCGAACAAGGAGAGCGCTGATCAGAAATGCAGCCAAGGGGCCCATGGTGACTCTGGACGAGCTGCAGAGATCTACAGCTCAGGTGGGGGAATCTGTCCATAGGACAACTTTTAGTCGTGCACTGCACAAAGTCAGCCTTTATAGAAGAGTGACAAGAAGAAAGCCATTGTTAACAGAAAACCATAAGAAGTCCCGTTTGCAGTTTGCCACAAGCCATGTGGGAGACACCGCAAACATGTGGATGAAGCTGCTCTGGTCAGATGAGACCAAAATGGAACTTTTTGGCCAAAATGCAAAACGCTATATGTGGCAGAAAACTAACACTGCACATCACTCTGAACACACCAACCCCACTGTCAAATATGGTGGTGGCAGCATCATGCTCTGGGGCTGCTTCTCTTCAGCAGGGAAGCTGGTCAGAGTTGATGGGAAGATGGATGGAGCCAAACACAGGGCAATCTTGGAAGAAAACCTCTTGGAGTCTGCAAAAGACTTGAGACTGGGGCGGAGGTTCATGTTTGTGGCTGTAATGTGACAAAATGTGGGAAAGTTCAAGGGGGCCGAATACTTTTGCAAGCCACTGTAAATATAGACTCGGACACCACACGAATAAAAGCTTTATTAACTTTAAGCTTCAATATTCTCCTGATGTTTTCTCCCTCCCAGAATGCCGTGGTTGGAGCCATGTCCAAACTGATATCTTTCCGCCAAAAAGTAACTACACTGCTAAATATGTTTGATGTTGGTCAAGGTGTTACTGAGGCACTTGTAATCGTGGCTGTTTTTTGGTGATGGTGGTGATTGTTCATTTTTTAGCAGTAACGATGTTTTGCACACATTAAGGATGGTGGCAGTGGTGTAGATGGTACTATTTATCCCACAGATTTTGCAGACTACATAAAGTGCTGGTGTGGGGTGTATTTTTTCCATTTGGTTCCCTAATTTCATGAAAGTGCCACCTCATTTTTATATTCACAAGCCCAATATTTATTTTCCTTTTGTTCAGAAAGACACAGAAGATGCAGAAACACTCAAGGAGAATGAAAAAGAAGTGGGAGAAAAATCAAAACCAGTAAGTCTATTTAATGCGTCACTGTGAGTCTTCAAATTACCCACCCACATACATGCAGTCAAAAATACTCACACTTCTTATTCCATACCTTTCACCACTTCCTCCTTCTCCTCTCTGCATGACTTCCTCTTATCAAACCTCCCTGTCGTCATGCGCTAGTGCCTTCAGTTACACTGCGTTTGTTTTTGGGTTTGTGTGTGTGTGTGTGTGCCCTTGTGAGGTCAAAAGTAACATGAACCAGTACGAAAGACGGGAAAGGAGTGCAGCTATCTTGGTCCCATCCAGACCAACTCAGGAGGTTCACATGCAGTCAAACACGGCTGCCTCTTTTTGTGACGTGTGGTCTTTGTTGGAATATTCTAACTTCTGCTCTCTTTGTTGATGTGATTTCGTTGAGCAGGAGGTGAAGGGGACGTCGTCACATGACAAAGTAAAACCAAGAAGAAGTGAGGATAACAACGTATGGTTTGCATTTATCAGGTTTTGCTTTAATTGCCCAGAGTTTTATTATATTTGAGGTAAACTGTTAGAATACAGATTAGATCATTTGAGTGGCTTTAAAAGAATCAAAATGTTTAAAATGCACTGCTTTATATAAATAGAAAGCCAGTACTTGGCATTAACTGGCTGTTTCACATTCAGTTTCAGCTTTGGAACAAGTATTGTATTTTTGTCCTGTACAGGAAGGCAAAGACATGACCTCCAGAGAGAAGAAAGAAAAACCTGCTAAGCCTCCTGCAGTTCCTGCCCGACCATCAGAAGAGGTGAGCTCCCTGAGTTTAGGGAATAGTTTCTGTCTGTGATGATGTGTATTAAAGCACTACTTTAAACCCTTATCGTTTAGAAAACTGTTGTGGTTTAATTTCAGGAGCTGAACAGAATAATTGGACACAGTCGACAAGAGCAGAACAACCAACAGGTATTAACATTTTCATACAGTACAACGATTAGACTCTAAAAAAGGGTTTAATGTTATTTTAGACAAGTATTGATTATCAGAAGTTGACTATGACGGCTGGTTCTTTCTGACCGCCAGTCAGAAATGTCTTTATTCTTCTCTCCTGGATAAGCGGAAGAAAATGGATGGATGGATGGCGTCTTTATTCTTGTGAAGAATTGAAGTTTCTCCTTACTTTTCATTTTAGCATGTGAGCAAACCTGTGGGATCAGATATAACTGATCAAATGTTTGCCTAACCTGATTCATAATATCATTATCTGCTACTTCAGTACGTTCCTGCACAATACAAAAAAATGTTACGTCTGTCTAGTCATCATTGTGGGTCAGACTAGACCCTCTGCATATGCCAGTTTTTTGGGTTTTCAAAATAATACATATCTATATAGATGGACCGATCTCAATAGAATGACTTCCGTGAGCCTGTGGTTGTTGTTGTTTTTTGTTTTTATACTGTGTGGTATAAAAGAGCCGATGAAAACAAACCTGAATTATTTGTGGTGGCTAATCCTAACTTTTCAAGTTCTTCCTTCTTATCGAGTGTTTCATGTCTTCATGTTTTAACCCCTTCACTACCTTGTCGTATGCTCATACTAATACTGTTTCATTGCCTGCTCATGTTATACGTTATGTGTCGTGTCAATCATTTATCAAATTTAATAAAAGCAACTTAATTACTTTTTCACCTTTCCACCTAAAACAAAGTCGCCTGTGGCAGAATTTACAACAGTAGCAATATTGAAACATTTGAAAATACATAAAATGAGTAAGAAAAACAACAGCATGCGCAGACGCGTTGCTATGACAACAAGCAGGCAAACAAGAACTGTGTCCCAATTCCTAGGCCGCATCCTTCGAAGGACCCGACATTTGCGGTCTACGTGGGCTGGAGTAGAGTAATATTAAAACCAAGTAGCTGCTGCCATTGTTGGAAACTGGAATTGGCTGGGCCGTGCTATGAATTCTGGGATAGGTTGGGCCACGAAGGATACTACCGACCCATCCTTCAAATCAGGGGAAATGAAGGACACAGTTGTTGGCCGCATTTGGAGCAGCCTTTGAATTGGGACAGCCTTCATTACGTCGCTGTAACATAAATGGCCTTCAGTTGCAGCCTCTGAAGGATGCGGCCTAGTAATTGAGACACAGCTAAGGCGCTACTGGGTTGTAATGGAAAACCAGTCAATCAGAGTCGAACCCAGTAGGTACTAATGGAAAAGGGCCTATAGTGTTGGGACAAAAAACCCTGGAGGCACCTCTCAGGCCCTCCTTTATTTTAAGCCTTGGTGGGGGAACCTCTAAAAGCTCGGATCTCAGCTGACCCTTCTCACCCTGGACACAGTCTGTTTGACCTGCTCCCCTCAGGCAGGAGGCTCCGGTCCATTCGCACCAGAACCTCT